GGGTACAGATGACAGGAAGTGGTGGAGGGTTAGGTCTGATCCCTCACATTTCTGCAGGAAAGACAAGGCAGAGCAGGGCAAGCAGCGTGGATTGGTTCATTTCAGTCATTTCTGTGGGTGCTAAGTTTAGCTGTGTCTTTGACTGTCCTGGATCTTGTTCTGGGATGGTTACGGCAGAGTACCCCTGTTTCCCGACAGATGAGGACAAAGGAGACACTGTTCTGGATTGGTTTGTTTGTGTATCTGCAGATACATTTGAACCATACTCCTTTGCCTATTCAGAAAGAAGGCTCTTCCTAGGCAGAAAACCTTTTAAAGATGTCCCAATATCATACCGTGCCATCACAACGGTGTATAATGACAGTTCATTCAGCAACAGACCACACATACAATGGCAGTCCCATAACAGAGCTACAAGATTCCTGTCATCAAACGATGTTTTCACCATCTTAGTAGCAGAGCACAATATGTCACTCACACACTTGTGGTGATGATTGTAAACATGGCACTACCGGCCGCCCCCCCCCCAACAACACAGTTATGGACCACAGAGAGTACTTGATACGCCATTATGTTGCTGGATTATGAATTTACTATGCTACATTTTTATCATTATTTTCAGAACATAATCCTTCTACTTAAAAAGCAGTTTGCTGCAAGACAGTACGCTGGCTTCTGCTGGCAGCAGCTGCATGCATCTTGATCTGACCACATTTCTTGACTGTAGAAGAGGCCTTTTTAGAGTGACTGGCCTGTGCCCTCTTGGTTTATTTCAAGGCACTCCATGATGTCTGGACTATGATGAAATTGCCTGATAGCACATTTCTCAGAACTGTCCTTCACCATTAGGTGAAGGCATGCTCAGTGTGGGGCTGAGCTGGGCCTGTTGAACAGCTTCCTGGTCAGGCTTGAATTCCTGACACTTCCTCATCTATGCATCCTGACTTTCAGTCAGTGTGCCTGTGGTGGTCAGTGGTGGATGTTGCTCCTTACTGGGACAGTGGGAAACACAGGTCTCACCAGCTGGGATCAGGTGATTCTACTATTTACGTGTACACTTTTCTGATCATACTTAGCATTGTGATCACATATGTTTCTTGTTTCATGAGGCTTCAACCACATACTGTCTTGTAAAGCATGCACCCCAAGTAGGTCTTCAATAAATGCAATCTTAATCTGAGTAATAGTTTATTATTTCTGGCTTTTTTGAGGCAGAATCCACCCACGTGTTTTAGAGCTTACTTGTAGCTGACCTGGCCCTGAACTCCTGATCTTCTGACCTCTGCTTCTCAAGCACTGGCTTGAGCCATATTTTATGCATGCTAGGCTAGCATTGTACCAACTGAGCTACATCTCCAGCCTCCGGGTGATAGTTATGAAGGAATCATACTGTGCCAAGAACTGCACTAGAAATATCTCTTGGTCAGAATCAGTTTCAAGTCAAGTCTCACAGGTCTGTGGAGGTGGGGCATCCTGTGTAGGCAGGCCACTTGGGTTTTTGTTTGTTTGTTTGTTTTTTGTTTTTTGTTTTTGGTTTTTTGAGACAGGGTTTCTCTGTGGCTTTGGAGGCTGACCTGGAACTAGCTCTTGTAGACCTGGCTGGTCTGGAACTCACAGAGACCCACCTGCCTCTGTCTCCCTAGTGCTGGGATTAAAGGTGTGTGCCACCACCGTCTGGCGGCAGGGCACTTGTTGAGGAAAACAGTTTAGTTAGACTGGAGAATTGTGGAAGGCTTTATTTTGGCTCACAGTCTTAGAGCTGTGGGTCTGTGGTTCAGGGAGGGATATGGCAGAGCAGAAGTCACAACACGACAGCCAAAAAGCAGATAAAGATATGTCTATGAGTGAATGTTTCTCTATTTCCCACCTTTACTCTATTTGAGGCCCTAGATTATGTGTTGGTAAAGTCCATATGCAGGGCTGGTCTCCCCGAAGACAAATCACAGACAAATCCACAGTATGGTTTCGTAACCTTGGATCTATCATTCCAACCAAGATAGAAAGGTTAACAATCCCAGTCACACTGTGAGAGATGAATAATTAGAGCCTCCCATGGAAGCATATGACAAGGGCTCCAAACTCATAGTTGGGGCTGAAAGCTGAGAAACGATTCTGAAGGTGAGACTGCAGGGTGAGTAGGCACGAGGCCAGCAGGGGAGTGGGGGAGGTGGGAGAGCACCAGGCAGTTTCAGTGGCTCACACTGATCAGTGTTTGGGGAACCAAGAAAAGGCAGCTCAAGGGCTAAGGCCGAAGAAGTGAGAATCGAGAAGAGAGCAGACCAGTCAATAAGGACCTTACTCACCGTCTGTTAGGGATGTAAAACGCTGTCCTACCAGAGATGTACAGCTGCTAAAGATTTTCAAGGAATGGATGGGCATGGTAGAAGTGACCGTGGAGGGGACACCAATCACATCAAGCAGGATCTAGTAATTCACCTAACACATTTCTGTGTGGCTTACAACTAGGTCACTGCCGGCATTGTGGAGGGAGTTCGCAGAGGAGAGAGGTCCAGGCAGCCTCAGGGGCTGACATGGGCTGGAAACAGGAAAATAGCTACAATTACAGAGTATCAGACAAGAGATGTTTTATGTGACTAGGGACTTGTATCTACTATGTTTCTTGATGACAACATTGTGATTGAATCTAATCACATACCAAAGATAAAATGATTCTTGCTTTTTTTCTTCTTTTTTTTCTCTTAAAATAACCTTTTATAAACAACTTAGTTTGGGGTACCAGGTTGCTGCTTCCTTTAAAACGTTGCTACTTTCATGGGACAAGACCCATGGTAAAAGTGGGCTGAACTTACTGTAACATAATTCTGTTGACATTTTATTTATTCAAAAGTATATTACAAAATTTTGTATCAAGCTCACAGATTTCACTTTGCAAGAAAAAAAGAGGCATTCAAAACAGGCAACCTGCAGCCAAATCTTCAACCCAAAAGATTCCCATAAATTATCACAAATTATAGCATGAGCCCAATATCTTGCACAGTACTCAGAGTTCAGGTCTACAGTGAACCTTTAAATTGGCAGGACATTGGCGTTATGAAACCTTGACTTTCCAAAGTATGTGCCAAACAGCTACATATTCATATATATATATATCAATCACACAAGGACTGTGACTTGAAACAAAGGTCAACATTATTGAAACCCATCAGGTTCTATGTAATGAAATTTTACCTATGAAAGTGTAAATCTTACTTCCTTTTTTGCCAGTTTTGTTTCTCCATCACTAAACATCATGCTTCCTGGGCAAATATTTAGTTTTATTGCCAGTCTACATGAGACTAAGGCTCAAAGGAAATTTAGCTCCCCCTACCCCAACTTTATACTTTGTATTCTTGTGACTCTGAGTCCTGGGTAAGGGACACAGACTCAGTTCTTCATAAGGAGCAATGTAGGGTGACATTCTTGGTATTTCAAGCCTCATTCTCCCATCCATAGAGAATTATATGTTTATATGTGCCAAGGTTCTAAGAGACAACTCCATTTCAATATCTCACCCATACTAAAAAGTGCATGGCTGTGACTTGGTTAGGATGTGTTTGTCCTGAAGGCTCATGTGTTGAACTTTTACTCTCTAACTGGTGGCTGTGGTGAGAGGCGACTGGATCCTGACATCTCTGGCCCAACCAATGGATTAAACTTTTGGTGGAGTCATGACATGATATTACTGAGGGTTAGGGTTAGGGTTGGAGGAAAGTGGATCTCGAGGGCACACCCAGGGAAGATGTAACATATTTCTGACCGTTTCGTTTCTTTTTGCTTCCTGTGTCTACCTACCCTACCATATACTCACCACCGTGACTTTCAGTCTGACCTCAGTCCCATAGCAATAGAGCCAGCGAGCCATGGAAAAAAAACTCTGGATCCATGGAATGACATTAATATTTCCTCATTTTAAGTTGTTTGGCTCAGGTGTCTTGTCACTGAAATGGAAGTCTAACATACAGTGCAAGCTTATGAAGTCTGAAATAATTCTTGAATTTTCTGTACTACTCCTATAAGTGAAGTTATTTCCTGTGGAAGCCCATGTAAAAAAGCTGTGAGCTATGGATGGGGCAGAATACAGAATGTTCTTCCCACAAGGTGGCCTTCTGCAAAGAATGGCGTGAACTGTGATAAGTGGCTACATCTGAAAGCAAGAACATGAAAGGAATGGCGTGTCCACATTATCCCTGTGGAAAAGACAAAGGCCTGGGAGGAATATTCTTGGCTCTTTCACATGACCGAAGATGATAAGAGGTAGCATCAGGTGTATTCTCTCTATGTGCTTGTGTTTGCTTAAGCTAACCTCAAATGTCACCTCATGTTTTGCTTGCTTTAATAATAAAAAATGAGAAATGCTTTGTTTGCACTACCTTTGAGCTCTGACTCCTGGAGTCTCCTAGTACCCCACATAGGTCTTTGAGGAGAGAGAGATATAGAATAGGTCTGAAAAAGAGGAGAGAGAGAGATATAGAATAGGTCTGAAAAGAGGAAAGAGAGATATAGAATAGGTCTGAAAAGAGGAGAGAGAGATATAGAATAGGTCTGAAGTGGTCACTATGGTGAGTGTTCACTGGGAGTCCAGATTCACCGGTATGTTTGGGGCTTTGAGGCCTGACACTAGGTATTTGTAGTTTCACTGGTGTAAGCCAGGGCTCCTTTTCTCCCCTTTCACCCCACATTTACTGCCTTTGTGAAATTCCTGTATAAATGAGTTGTTCAGTGTGGCCTACAATAGATGCATAAGGCTTTTTCATTGTTGCAGCAACTTCCTGCAAAGATGCTGTTTGGAAGAGGTTGTCAGGTATGGCAGGTTGGGGATAGCCGGTCAAAGGCCAGTTTTCAGGTCAGCAAGGTTTCCATTGCAGGGATTTCGTAGGGTGGGAATAGCATAATGTTACATGTGACACCCAGGATGAAAGAGTGAGAAGCCATTGAAAATGATAAAAAAATTATTAGGCATCAGTCTGGAATAATCAAATATCAGGATAAATAGCCCAGAGTGATTCATCAACACAGCTATATTTTGAGAAGGATTAAATAACAATTAAATGACATTTGGCTTGGTTTCCCAAAGTCAGATCAAAGGGCAAACTATTACAATTAATTCTAACTCTGCTACAAATGAACATGTTGAGTTTTCTTTTAGCTTAATTGATCTCCATATAGCTTTAGAAGAAGAAAAATGAGAGAAATGCATTCATATACATAGATAATACACCAAATATGAAAAGTACTTGGCTGATAGGGCAATGGGTATAATGGGTAGTTTGTTTTTTATTATTGTTGTTACTGATTTTTGATTTTTGCTTGTCTCTGCTTTAAAAAGACTTAATTGGCAGGGAATTTCAGCTGTTATTTAAAACACGAGCAAGATGTGTAATACCTGCCAGCATGGAAAAGATCTGAAGAACTGACAAGATCTAATGCTGTGAGGAACGGAAGTGACAGGAACTCTAACAAATCACCAATGCAAAGTCCCTAAGACACTTTGGGGAGATATTTTTGGAAGGTTTAGCTAAATGGGATGTTTATAGCAATGTTAGTCATAATTACCAGAATATCCTACAGCAGGTAAGTGAGCAAATAAACTGTGGTATATCCAACGAAGGCCTATTCTTCCCCGCTGAAAAGGGGTACCTTTCAAGCCACAAATACATAGGGAAAACTTTAAATATTTATTACTAAGTGAAAGAAACCAATATGAAAAAAATCTACACACTATACGATTCTTACTATATGGAACATTCTGAAAAAGTCAAAACCACGGAAACAGTAAAACAAAATATGAATGACAACCAAGGACCAGGGAGAAATAAAGATGAGTAGATAGAACACATGGGTTTTTCAGATGAATTAACTATTCTATATAACATCAAAATGATAGATACATGCCATTTAACATTTCTCAAAGCTCATAGAAGACACAATGCTAACGGTGAGACACAATGTAAATCGTAGGTGTAGAGTAATTAGAAAAATAACATTCAGGTCATGTGTATATGTGTCTGTCCATCTATATAGACAAGTATTGATACAGCCTTATCATTTCTGTTTTCCTTAATGTGATTCTATTTAGAGACAACACGAATAAAAGAAATAACACCCGTCTTGGACTTTTCCTGTCACCTTTGTGAGCACGCGGATGGATCTTGTTCATAAGTATCACAAAGGTGATTGTCACTCAGGGAAGACGCCCATAGGTTCAGACAGCTTGTGGAATGAGCACAGGCCTTGTGCTGAAGCAACAGGTTCAGGACTGGAGGCGGCAGTGCTTGGCTGGTCCCCGCAGAAGTGGGTGGAAGAAGCTGCTGAAGGATTCTGCTTCCCTCTAGGCTGTTTGCTTTGGACCTTACAGGTCTTCTAGGTTCAACCTCTGGCTTCCAGAACCAATATCCATGCTGTCACTGACCTTTGTGTTCTATGGTACAGCTGTGTTGCTACTTCTGAACTGTTTTGAAGAGACACCACGATCAAGGCAACTTATAGAACTTACAGTTTCAGAAAGCTTGAGTCCATATTCCTAATGGTGGGGAGCATGCCAGCTGGCAGGTAGGCAGGGCGCTGGGGTCCTAGCTGAGACCTTACATTCCAAGACACAACTGCAAGGCAGAGAAAGCTAACTGGGAGTGGCATGGACTTTTGAAACATCAAAACCCATCTCTATCGATCCACCTCTTCTAACAAGGCCACACCTCTTAATCCTTCACAAACTACACAAACTATCGACCAAGCCTCACCCATGGGGTGCAGCCTCACTCTGAGCACCACAGAGGAGTACAGAGTTTCAAGAGATTTGGGGAGTATAAATGGAGTCTGTGGTGGCAGCGGTTGCAAGCTGCTGCTGTAGAATTTGATTGTGTGAGTCACAGCTCTAAGAGTGAAGACACAGTGATGAGTCAAGCTGCAGAGGTCCAAGGGTGGGACTGAGTCCAGGTGAAGGGACAGGAGATGGACAGAGGTCTTAGCCGGGTGACTAGGCAGATGGATAGATGACCATTGAGTAGACTATGTCAATAGCGGGAATGAGCTGAACTGATCCCCAGAGACAGTTTGGGGTTCTTCACGGGTTGTTTTTTGATGTCCACACCAGGAGTCAGATGACAGGTTGATGGGTGCTGTCACCATCCCTGTTCTGGGTGTCCATATCATTATGAGGTCCAGTTGAAGGAGTTTTATACTTTTCTTGACCTGGTAGATTCAGTAATTTCCTGGGCCTGGTTTCTCAGATAGGCTTTGAATACGGTCAAGTGTCCTTACAGTCTTAATTTGCCTTGGCAAATTTATAAACTAGCACCTTTCTATACCCAGTGCTACGTGGTGGTGTTCATGTTTCCACCCAGGTGCATGGTCATCTTCCGTCTTCAAGTTGTCAAGATTTGTTGGTCAAGTGGAGTTTCCGACAACAAGGCACAGCCTAAAAAACCATTGTGTTACTCAGTGAGTACTAAATTAGAGCAGGGCACAGCCTGATCCCAATGACCCAATTTGCTGGATTATAAATACATAGTGTATTAGTGAGGGTTTACTGGAGAGACAGATCAGCTGGAGGTATCTCTTGGAGATTTCTCTCTCTCTCTCTCTCTCTCTCTCTCTCTCTCTCTCTCTGTGTGTGTGTGTACAAACCAAGAGATTTGCTATTGGTGCGTTAACTTTTCTGGGACCAGTAAAAAAAATAAATGTCTATACTGCTCAGATAGGTACAAAGATCAGAACAAAATACAATTTCATCAGAGTCCAACTTGTGAAACTAATGAGTTTATTAGGCTTGCGCACAGAGTACAGGTGAGGGCTATTCAGAGGAGGGTAGGTGACCTCAAAACAGCTGAATTGCTGCAAACTCCCACCCCATTTTGGATGTCACCATAATGGAAGTTGCATCATGGAGTCTTCCTTACTGTATATGCTAGCGTTTCCCAAGATCATTTAAGGCTAGGAAGGAAGGGGGAGGGCAAAAAGGAGACTTAGGTGAAGGTCATGTGACCTTCTCTTATCCCCCTATACTAGGGAGTTCATTAGCTTCATTATGCTACCATATACCTGGCTACCACTGTATTCTGTTCATTAGTAGCCATGGCTACTGGAACAAGGTAATCTCTATTCCTAGATGTCATCAGGTTATTCCATGAAGAAAAAATGCCACACAATAGTTGTAAAGAAATGGCTCTGATGATTATGGAGGCTGACAAGGTCCAGCATCTACTGTCAGCAGGCCGAAGACTCACAAAGGAACTAGTGATATAGTTCTAGAATAAAAGGTACATGCTGATAAACCAAGTGAAGGCGGGGTTTCAGTTGAACTGGTAGGAGGAAAGGGTCACTACGGCAGGCTAGACTTTGTATGCCTGTCTTCAAATAGTTGGGTGAAGCCCACCCATGTTTGAAGAGATGTACGGTATTTAGTAAATTGGCTAAGATGTCAATCTCATTGAGAAAAATCCTCAGTAAGAAAGTGTTGCCAAATGTCTGAGCACTCATGGCCCAGGTAAGAGCATATTTCATGGCCATCCTGCATCATGACTATGCAGAAGGTCTGGAAACTCATGTTGATTGACAGATAGATGCAACACCATGAGGAGAACAGGTTGAAACAATGTCACTGGCTACAAATTCAGTCAGAACAGTTTGCAATGTTATACATTTGCCATGTCATACTGGGGAGCCCCTTAGGCTTATGTATGGTGAGGGGGGATGGTTGCGGCACAATATGGAGATGGAGGAGAGAGCAGTGGTTCATGCTGTTGCAGCTTTTCAGTCAGATGGGAGGGGCAGTGGCGCCAGCTGCTCCTACTTGCTGGCTTGCACTCACAGGACTGTATCCAAAGAACACTTGTTTCTGAGAAATGCGCGGGCCCAGAAGAAGCCGAAAGCAGAGCTCCAAGGAGTGAGGGGATTTAGAGAACAACACATTCCTCTGCAAAACTCCATCCTGATGCTCTCTGCCCTGAGGGAAATTTTGCAGTGGTATTACCTAAGACTGTAAAACTCAACAGCATGTGAAATAGCAAGTGCTGTTTCCCAAGGCCTGAGGGAGAATGGATTCCCTTCTGGCATTTTCAAGCAGTCATTAGCTTGGCTTTGACTGTATCTCTGCACCAACTGTGCCATTTGCACAGTGGGCAAAAATATGATGTGCTCCATACCATGGGATATTTATTTCTTACTAATATATTTTCCTGTGGCTTACATGAAACTCTTCTTTTCTACCCTATTCCCTTGTTTTCTTTTGGTCTCTGCTCATGTCTACCCTGTATTTCCCTTCAAACCTGTGGCCACAGAAGCAAGAAACAAGAGCATACTAATTATTTCAACCTGTCTGGACTTGGTGTCATTTGAAGAAGACGCGTCTCAGGAATCTTTCTATCTAATAGTACGGCAGTGATGGTTTGGATATTGATGCATTGGAGGTGTGGTCCTAGGGGATGGAACTATTGGGAGGATGAAGTGGGGGCTGAATCAAAACAGTGATGTTGTTGGGGACTTATCTGTCTTCCTGTTATGGTTTGAATGTGAAATATTACCCTTAGGCTAATGAACTTTGAACAGTTGCTCCCACACCGATGGCCACTGTAGGGGAACCTCCCAGAGCTGAAGCCTGGCTGAAAGATGTTAGGTTATGGGTAGTGGTTGTTGGAGCATGTAGATGGGCTCTGCTTTCTGGCCCTTGAAGATGAGAGCAGTCTTAGCCATATGCTCTCATTATCATAAATCCCACTATTCTCCCCAACACACACACATGGAAGGGACTGTGCCCACTTAAACTGAGGGCCAAAATAATCTCTTCCTCCTTTAAGTTGTTTCTTTTTAAAAAATATTTTAAAATTTATTCATTTATATTTTATATCCCAATCCCAGTTCCCCTCTTTCCTTTCCTTCTGCTCCCCCACTCCCACCCCTGCCACCTTATCTGCTCCTCAGAGAGGGTAAGGCCTCCCCTAGGGAGTCTATTCCATCATCTTGTTGAGGCAGGACCAAGGCACCTTCCCACTCCCCACACTTCTGTGTCTAGGTCAAGCAAAGGTATTTCTTCCTTATAGAATGGGTTCCACTAAGTCAGTTTGTGCATTAGGGTTAGATCTTGGACCCACTGCCAGTGGTCCCATATATTGTCCCAGTCACACTATTGTCACATATATTCAGGGAGTCTAGTTCAGTGTTATGCAGGTTCCCGATTTGTCAAACCAGAGTCATCATTGGTGTTCTTGATTTTAGCCATTCTGATCTATAAGATGGTGTTATGATAAATCTTTTTTGCCAAAAGCCACCTGAGCTCTACCGCCATGTGGGTGCTTTCCACCAGCCACCCAAGTTCTGCCCGCCGAGTTAGGGCCCCAAATAATACACAGAGACTTCTATTTACCCAAGTTCTGCCCGCCGAGTTAGGGCCCCAAATAATACACAGAGATTTCTATTAGGTACAAATGCTGCTTGGCCAATGACTAGGATTTCTCAGTCTTAATTATCATAAATCTATATATTTTATAAGACTTATCTTATTTAGGATACCTTCCATTGGCATCCTCATCCTGGGATCACATGGCGACTCTGGAGAAAAAGAGAAGCAGCCCACTTCCTTCTTGCCTTTGTTTATATATGAGTTTCCCTGCTAGGTCACTTCCTGTGGATCACCAATTCTTTACTACATTTCCCAGAATCCTCCTTGACTCCTAGTCCCACCTAACTTGCTGCCTCATTGGCCAAACAGTACTTTATTTGCCATCCAATAAAACACACACATACACAGAAGCACTTCCCCCATCAAGATGATATCTCAGAGTTGTTTTGATTTGCATTTCCCTGATGACTAAGGATGGTGAGCATTTCCTTAAGTGTCTTTCTGCCATTTGAGATTGTTCTGTTGAGAATTGTTCTGTTTAGGTCTGTACCCCAAGTTTTAATTGTATTATTTGGTAGTTTGATGTCTAGCTTCTTGAGTTGTTTGTATATTTTGGAGATGAGCCCTCTGTCAGATGTGGGGTCGGTGAAGATCTTTTCGCATTCTGTAGGGAGCTGTTTTGTTTGTCTTGTTGACAGTGTTCTTTGCTTTACAGAAGCTTCTCAGTTTCAGGAGGTCCCATTTATTAATTGTCGATCTCAGTGTCTGTGCTACTTGTGTTCTATTTAGGAAGTGGTTTCCTGTGCCTATGCATTCAAGTGTATTTCCCACTTTCTCTTCTATGAGGTTCAGTGTGGATGGATTTAAGTTGCTTTCTTTTAATTGTATGAGAATTTTACATATGCATATGTCATTGAAAGAAACCACTCTCATCTCAAAGATGGTTTATTCTGGAGCCAAATATAAGTGATCATGGCGTGGGAAACATATGCAGGTCTCCCCAAATATAATGTTCCAGTGTGGAAGCATCTCCATGGAGTTTTTATAGTAATGTAACAGAGGAAGTTATAAACCAAGGCATTTTAAAAGCACAATGATAGAAACATTTAGTAGGCAGTTACAGCAGGCAGAGGGATGTCAGCTATATGTCTCAGAGGTCACGGTGGGCAGAGGTGAATTCCCAAATCACAACATGGAGTCTTAATATTAGTTATAAATGCTTGGCCAATAACTTGGGCTTGTCTCCAGACAGCTCTTACAGCTGAAATCAACCTATTTCTATTCATCTATGTGCTGCCCCAGGCTCATTTACCTAATGTGTGTACTCATCCTGCTCACACTGAGTCTCATGACATCTCCTCATGATTCTCTGGCCCCTCCCTTCTTCCCAGCATTCTTTGCCCTGAGAATCCTGCCTAGCTATCGGCCAATCAGCTTTTTATTAACAATGAGAGCAATATGTTTTTTACAGTGTACAAAAGGATTATTCCACAGCACAGAGGGATTTCAACTATAGGTCTCAGGTGTTATCTGATGCCATTCTTAGCTCTTCCAGTGGTGGGGGATGGGTTTGCTGAGCTTCGTACATTGTAAAGGTTGCTGTCTTTTTATCAGAATGTTAGGTCTGATACAGAGGTGGGCAAGGGCTCCTGACAGGGCTGAAGAAAACCCCAAAGAAAGTATAACTGGGCTATGAGATCAGCAACCACCCAAATCCTCCTGAGTCATTGAAGAGTTTATCAGTAGATGAGCCTATGCAGACAGCTTCTTTCCAGGATGCTCTTTCACACAGACAGTGTGACTTCATCAAATCCACCCCCAGTCCAGGTCCTCCTCTGTCTACTCCCACCACTTTCCCTTGGCAGTTAAGTTCCTTTGTGCCAGATATTTGGTCACAGTGATGAGAGAAGTAACTAATATACTCTAGAAGAGAACATTAGGACACAGGCCCTCTCTCCCATTTTTGTTTGGTTCTCAGATGTCCCTTAAGGGCAGCTTAGCTCCTTTTCATGCTCTTACATTCTACTTCACCAAAGCACCAAGAGGACAAGCCAAGTGACCGTGGATCAAGAGCTTCACCCACTGGCCCGAATGAACCCTTCATTATAAGTTCAGTTTGTCCACTGTTTTGTCATACACTGCTTCCAAATGCCCCTTCTGACATGCAACTAGAGCCCCATGCAGGAGAAGCACTTCTTTACTGAGGTCAGTATAAACCTAGATTTGTCTCCTCTAGAAGCTTTGTTAGTAATATTTTGTGATTCTGCCATGTGCCATCAGGAATACTCTCTGGACTTCATGTTGCAAACCAACCTTCAGCCCTGGTACTTTCTGTTTCCCTTTGCTGCTTTGGTATTTCTCCTACCATTTTATGCTTTACTGGTTTGTGGCAGTGTGTTTGTTGCGGTGTTTATCTTGAACAGGACTTACCCATCACTAAGGCAGACAGTCAGGTGTCTTTTTCAAATGCACAGTTTAACTCTAAATAATACCACGGATATCTGGAGGCAGAGTTCATTCTCAGACGGCAAGTAGAATCAGCACAAGTTGGTTGCCAGTCCAATTTCCAGGGCACAGCAAGCCACCATGTCCATATCCACTAGTGGGGAAGTGAGTGGATGCTGGGCTTTGCAGCAGATGCTCCCTGAACACCATGCTTCTTGAGAGTAATAAAGACAAACTGGTCATCCTCTCAGTTGTGCTTAGCCGTGACAACCAGGATGCTGACACTCACCAGCCAACAAGGTCAGAGTCAGTCCAGAGAGAGGAGAGCCTGGTTTGATCACTGGAAGGGTCCCTGGTTGCTAGCATACATGGTTCGTGTGTGTGTGTGTGTGTGTGTGTGTGTGTGTGTGTGTGTGTGTGTGTGTGTGTGTGTGTGTGTGTTTTGCAGTTTGGTGGAGACCAGCATCCACAGAGCTGCTGGGAATTTCAGCTTCTCTAGTCTCTCAGAACTCTTCAGAGCCCTTCAGAGGCTTATCTCATTCCTGCAGACATTTTGGTCCCAATTTTGACTAACGTGAGCCACCAGCTCCTAGGGTCCTGCTGATGGGAGGAAAAGCCGAAGCCCCATCTAAAATATAAGCCACGGGAACCCTGTAAAAAGAGACACTTCTACCCTCAGACCAAAGGAGCCCCATCTTCATCAGCAAAGAGCAGGCCTTTTACCGGTTGAAAATAATTGGAGTTTGATTCCCTTCATCCCGAGTCAGCAGGTGAGTCAGCCTCTTATCACAAGGATGGGAATTCTGATGCTCCAGAAGGTCATGTGACAGTCACAGCTGCATCACTCCAGAAAAGGAACAACAGTGATGACATTGACAGGGACACAATGTAATTCTTTACATAAATAGGAAAAACTTTATAAATTCATATAGAAACATCTCAAATACCATAATGCATGACCTCAAAGTATGCTACAAGCCATAGTAACAAAAATAGCAGGGTAGTATCCCTAAACCAAATGTGGAATAGATATAAACCCACACACTTACAGCAGCTTAGTCTTTGACAAAGGTGTTAAAATATACATTTGAGGGGGGAAAAAAACCCGTTCTGTTCAACAAACTAGTGCTAGAATGAAGTTAGCCAGTTGGTGGTGGCTAAGACCTTTAATCCCAGCACTTGGGAGGCAGAGTCAGTCGGATCTCTGTGAGTTCAAGGCCAGAGTGGTCTTCAGAGAGAGTTCTGGGACTGGCCCCAAAACTACAAAGAAACCCTGTCTCAAAAAACCAAATAAATACATAAAAAGAATGGAGTTGGATCCTTATTTCTCACCCTATACAAAAAATCAATGAAAACTTATCAAAAGCTTTAATATAAGATCTAAAACTCTAAAACTACTGGAGGAGAACCTAGGCAAACACTTCTAGATATAGGCATTGGCAGTCTTTCTGAGGACTCTAACACCACAGGCAATAATGCCAAGATTTAGCAAATGGTATTTCATAAAAAAATAAATACCTTTAGCCACACCTGTTGGAGGCTGGCTACAGGTGTGCCTGACCACGCCTGTCAAGGCATGGTCAAGGTGAGGTCAGGATGACAAGTGAGGGGTTCTTAAGGGATGGCAAAGCACATGGGAGCCCTTCTCTCTGGCCTCCCTGCCTGCTGCTCCTGGCACGCTCTGGCTTGCGTTTGGCTGGTGTTTTTCTAATAAAGGATATCTTTATCCCAAGCTCCTTTTATTTCTGTTTTTAAAATTTTTTTATTAGTTCAAATTAGGAACAAACTTGTTTCACATATCAATCCCTTCTCCCTCTTCCTCTTTTTATTTCTTAATAAATACCTTTGAACAACAAAGAAAAATAGCACTGTGATGAGGCAGCTTCCAGTGTGTGACAAAGACTTTGCCAACTCTACATCCTCCAGGGGATTAATATATAGAATCTCTAAAGAATTAGATAAATCAAAGCCAAAAAATAACCATTTGACCAATAAATGGGTTAAGTGGATGGTTTTCAAAGGAAGAAACGCAAATGGTCGGTAAATATTTGGAAACACATTCAAGATCTCTAGTTATAAGAAAAATGCAAATTGAAATTGTATCGAGGTGCTACCCCACCTCAGTCAGAATAGCTATCATTCAGAAAAGAGATGACAAAAATGCTGTCAGGAATGTGCAGAGAGAGAAGGCTTAGAGCCCTGCTTTCCGGAAACCAGGTGAAGATTCCTCAAAAGACTAAGACTAGAGCTCCAGGGATTCTAGTCAGCACACCACACTGAAACTTACACACCCATGCTTATTGTTCAGCCAGCACAGTAGTGATGACTAGAGGTCCCTCAACACAGGAACCAATAAAGAAACGTGTTACGATAAATCTTTCCGCCAAAAGCCACCCAAGTGTGGCAGGCAGAACTCAGGTGGCTGGCGGAGACCGCCTGCCATGTGGATGGACAAAACAATACAGAGACTTATATTAGGTACAAATGCTGCTTGGCCAATGACTAGGATTTCTCATCTGCTAGCTCAGTCTTAATTATCATAAATCTATATATTTTATAAGACTTATCTTATCAGACACCTTCCATTGGCATCCTCCCTTGCTGGTGGATCAATTGCAAATCTGGAGGAAGAGCTGAGGGGAAAAGGGGCCACTTCCTGCTTGTCCTTGCTTAAATATGAGTCTCCTTGCTATGTCACTTCCTGCCTGGATCACCACTTCTCTACTACATTTCCCAGAATCCTCTTTGACTCCTAGTCCCATCTAAGTTGCTGCCTCATTGGCTAAATAGTGCTTTATTCAACAAT